CCGCTGAGTCAACTTTGCTCTCACAAAATTTTCTTACAAAATGTTTCTTTATGGAAACATCACTAAATCTTCTCTCCCAGAGGTACTAATTGGGTTTGATCCACTGACCTCTTGGTAAGCAGTCAAGCACTTAGCTGCGCCACCACCAGGGCTCCTTTAAGTTGTTATTGTTGCTAAAAGTGCTGTTGTTAAATCTCATGAAATGGATTCTATTGCAAAGTGTCAGCCCCAGCACAATATCATGGGAGCATTCTTTCTTGATATTTCCAGGGGGGTGTGCGTGTTCTGAGCATGTACACTTCTTACTAGGAGTTACAGTCAGAATATGAAAGCCACAGGCCTATGACAATGTTTGACCTCCTACCAAACTTCCCATTTCTGGAAGCACATACTTCCAGTTCAGGGTGTCTGTAAAGCCATGCCTTCTCTAAAGGCTTCAGGTATAAAGATTTCCTTACTGCTTCCTGATTCTGGTAACTTCGGATGTTCCTGGGCGTGTTTCTGTAGCAGTCTCTGCCTCCAGCTGTCACTACAGCTGTCTTCCTTCTGTATCTCTTTTTCTTCTTTTAATGACACCACTCATAAAGAGTCAATTGTGTGGATCGTGGCAAGATATGGACAACATTGCAGAGAATGGATATTCCGGAACACTTAATTGTGCTCATGAGGAACTTGTACATAGACCAAGAAGCAGTTATTCAAACAGAACAAGGGGACACTGAATGGTTTAAAACTAGGAAAGGTGTGTTCCAGGATTGTGTTCTTTCACCATACTTAATCTATATGTTGAGGAAATAATCTGGATTATATGAAGAACGTGGCATCAGAATTGGAGGGAGACTCATTAACAACCTGCGATATGCAGATGATACAATACTGCTTGTTGAAAGTGAAGCGGACTTAAAACATTTACTGATGAAGATCAAAGAGCACAGCCTTCAGTATAGATTACATCTCAATGTAAAGAAAACAAAAATCCTCACCACTGGACCAATAAACAACATTCTTATCAACGGAGAAAAGATTCAAGTTGTCAAAAACTTCATTTTGCTCAGATCAACCATCTACACTCATGGAAGCTGTAGTCAAGAAATCAAATGACATATTGCATTAAGCAAATCTGCTGTACAAGACCTCTTTAAAGTGCTGAAGAGCAAGATGTCGGTTTGAAGACTAAGGTGCGTCTGACCCAAGCCATATTTTCAATAACCTTATATGAAAGTTGGATAGTGAATTAGTAAGACTATAGAAGAACTGATGCATGGTGTTGGAGAAGGATATTCAAAGTGCCATGGACTGCCAAAAGAACAAATCTGTGTTGTTAGAAGTATGCCCAAAATGCTCCTTAGAAGCCAGATGGTCAGCCTTCGTCTCTCATACTTTGGACATATTATCACAAAAGACCAGTCTCTGGAGAAGGATATGATGTTTGGTGAAGTGGAGGGTCAGAGAAAAAGAGGAAGACCCCCAACAAGATGGATTGGCACCGTGGCAGCAGCAATGGGCTCAAATGTAGTAACAATTGTGAGGTTGGTGCAGGACGGGCAGTGTTTCTTCTGTTGGGCATATAAGGTCACTATGAATGGGTACCAACTCAACAGTACCTAATGACAACAAAGACATCAGCATTTCAAGGACCAGCAGAGTCACTAAGGGTGAACAGGTTTTGGTGAAGATTCCAGGAAGAAAAGCCTAGTGACCCTTTCTTTCTGGAAGCATCCATTTTTGGATGCAGCCTGGTGACCTACATCCAAAAATTAGAGAATGAACACTCTCTGGATCCCAACACAACTCATGAGCTTTGGACATGCCATCAGGAGAGAACAACTGCTGAAAGAGGCTAGCCTGGTTTGAGGTAGAGGAAAAGTGAGGGAGACCTTTGATAAGAAGGTCTGCAACTATGGACTCACACAAGCTGGCCGTCGGGAGAATGACGTGGAACTGGGCAACATTTGTTCTATATTATAGAATAAGGTTTAAAATTAAGAAAGGTGTGCGACAGGGTTGTATCCTTTCACCATACTTATTCAACCTGTGTGCTGAGCAAATAATCCTGTTGTTTATGGGTCCAGTGGTGTGGATTACATCTCAATGTAAAGAAAACAAAAATCCTCACCACTGGACCAATAAACAACAGGCTTATCAACGGAGAAAAGATTCAAGTTGTCAAGGACATCATTCTTCTTGGATCAACTATCAACACTAATGGAAGCAGCAGTCAAGAAATCAAAGGACGTATTGCATTAGGCAAATCTGCTGCACAAGACCTTTTGAAAGTGTTGAAGAGCAAAGTTGTCAACTTGAGAACTAAGGTGCGCCTGACCCAAGCCATGGTATTTTCAATAATCTCATATTCATGAGAAAGCTGAACAGTAAATAAGGAAGACCGCAGAATAATTGATGCTTTTGAATTATGGTGTTGGAGGAGAATATTGAAAGTGCCATGGGCTGCTAAAAGAACAAACATAGCTGTGTTGGAAGAAGTGCAGCCAGAGTGCTCCTTGGAGGCCAGGATGGCCGAACTTCATCTCTCACACTTCAGACATATTGTCAGGAGGGACCAGTCGCTGGAGAAGGATATCATGTTTGGTAAGGTGGAGGGTCAGAGAAAAAGAGGAAGATCCCTCCTCCTCCCCACCCCCCAGAGAGATGGATTGGCAGAGTGGCAGCATCAAGGGGCTCAAACGTGGCAACAACTATGAGGTTGGCCCAGGACCAGGCAGTGTTTCGTTCTGTCATGCACAGAGTCGCTATGAGTTGGTACCGACTCGATGGCACCTACAACAACATATAATAAGGTGGAGTCCTGGTGTGGTGCTGCAGGATAAACACTGCAATGCTAACCAAAAGGTCAGTGGTTCAAATCCACCAGCCGCTCCTTAGAAAGTCTAAACAGGGTCTCTGTGAGTCAACAGCACTTAACAGTAGCAATATTTAATAAGATGGCCGTATGTAGAAGCCAACTCAGCGGCATTTCTATCTACCTGTATCCATATATCATCTATCGATCCATTCATCTGTCTGTGTGTCTCTCTGTCTAGTGTGTGGTACTTTGTCACTGAATCCCAGAACACTTACAGAGAAGATAATAAAGCCCAGGATCAGGGAGAGACATAGGTGAATCTACCTACCCCCACCCCCCAAGTGAAAGCAGCCACACCTGGCACCAGCATCAAGATGCCAGGTGTGCCTGGAAGCACATCAATCCCGAGAATGGGTGCCAAGCATTGGGGGAGCGAGCCTTGGATACCGAAGACGGGGCAGCAGGCACCGTGGGGGCCGAGCACCCCACATGCCTGAGCCGTGCAGACAATGCCCAGGCTCCGATGTTAGAGTCTCCAGTGGTCTTTTAAAATCATCAGTGTCATGGCCAGTATGTGGGGGTCCTGAGAGAGCAGGGAGGTGGTGTCTGTACAGCAGAGGGGTGAGATGGGGGCAGGGCTGGAGGGGCATTTCTCCTGGGCTTCCAGAATCAGTAGTTCAAGGTTACTCTTCAGACATAGCTCCACTGCTGGTCACTGCAAAGTCCCAAGTAGCACCCTTCTCTCTCATGGTACCAATCCATCCCCAACCTCTCGGGGTCTCAGCGATAGTCACCATTAGGGTGTGAGAAACGACACAGACTTGTCATTTGGGGGTAGGGGGCCCAGACCACATCCTCACAGCCAGGATCAGCACGGACCACCCTACGGCTGCCCTTCTCCAAGGAGACCAGAGGTGCTGAGGTGAAGGAGCCCACCCGTGGGGGTCCCCCACTCTTGCCCGCCCCCGGGGCAGCTGTGGATGGCTTTCTGTCTGGAAGGCAACTCCACATTCCTGCATCTGTTTCTACTTTTCACCAGAAGCTTCCCAAGGCGGCCGCCTGCTCCCCACACAACAAAGGGACACGTGAGTGGGGGAGGGCCCCCAAAGGCTGGCCTGATGCCCTTCCATATGGCAGCAAGGCATCTGGATGGGGGATTCTCAGATGGGCTCACACTTCAGATCTGAGGAGGAAAGAGAGGTGCTTCCAACTAAGGATAGAGCAAACTCCCACTCTGGACAGAGCTTTACCAAGTGTCCCCTGGTCACGGGTACAACCTAGCTCAGCCCCCCAGAGAATGACCTCCGCCTGCCCTGTGCCCAGCACCTGTGTCTAGGTCCAGTCACGAGGACAGCCAGGGGTGGGGAGGGCCCATCTTCCCGTCTTAGCTCCCCCTTCTTCGCCCTCTCAGACCTGCAGGCTCTCCTTCCCACAGTCTGTGAGCCTGGTGACTCTGCCCAGACCACTCCCTCTGACAGACAGAACCTGTTTCTTGGACCCCTCAACCACCTGACAAGGTACTATGGTGGCTCAGTGGTTAAAGCACTCAGATGCAAATGGAAAGGTAGGCGGATCCAACCATCAGCCACTCACTCTGTGAGAGAAAGAGGTAACAGACTCTGAAAAGATAGCAGCGTTGGTAACCCTATGGGATGGCTCCATCCTGCCGTATGGGGTCACTATGAGTTGGAATCGACTCAGTGACAAGAAGTTTAGCTTGTTTGTTTTTTTTAACCACCTGCCGCACTCCCCTCAGGAACTCCGAGGCCAAGGTGGGTGATGGGGAGCCCATCTCAACAGACCTCATCCCCACCCAGCAGGGGCCACTTCCCATGAGTCCTGAGGCAGCACAGTCGATGACTAGCCACCGCCTCACAGGGAACCTCATGGGGATGCTGGTCCAGGCTCGTTCCCAAGTCAGAAGCCCACACAGGCTGATGGGCAGGGCCCAGTGTCACACTAACCTGAGCTCGAGGCCCTACCTTGTAGAATGTTCTCCCACAAACACAAATCTCTGCTTTCTCCCCTGTGTGTGTTCTGGCCAGGGGACCGTAAGCACGGCACAAGTTCTTACCATGTACCAACTACCACTCGGGGCTGACCCGCCCTGTGAGAGCTCTGGCAGGCCCCACTCTGGCCCCAGCACACCAGAGCCAGGAAACCCAGGGTGGGGCGGGGTGGGGATGGGCGAGCTTACCCAGGCAGGTCCTGCCGTCGGTGTGGAGCCGGAAACCGGGCCTGCACTCACAGAGGTAGGAGCCTGGGGTGTTCACACACCTGTGCTGGCAGCCACCATTGTGAACCTGGCACTCGTCCACATCTGGGCGGAAACATAGCAGCAGGTTAAGAGTCAGTACCCACCCTAAGGTGTCTGCCCTTCGCCAGACTGAGCTCACCATGCAAGTGCTGGCCACCTCAATGGGCACACGGCTGCAGCCCAGATGCCCCAAGACCTAAGCCTTCCTCCTTGGGCCACACCTGCCACAGTCCTGAGGGTCTCACCAACACCCACTTGAGCCAGTTTGGGAAAGGAAGCAAGTGGCCCAGGTCTGAGCTGCCCTGTCCTCTCCCTCTGGCCTGGCCTAGCCTGGCCTGCCTGCACGGGCTCAGCCCTGATCCTGGGACAGCGGCCAGAAGGTGGGAACAGTAGGCTGGAGCAGACCCAAGGATGTAAAAACCTGTATCCCCGTGCCTTTCAAGACTGAACTTGGGGTGTACGTTGTTTTCCTACACCCACACCTAGACAACACTCTATGGGCAGTACCCGCCACTCCTCTGGGGTCCACGAGCCCGAAACAAAAACATGAAAACTCACGGGATGCTCCCCTCTGCTACAGGGAAGTCCTGAGAGAGGGTGAGGGTTAGGGGCCCCCCAAACTCAGGGACCACCTAGAACCTCAGTCTGTGGTCTTATTTGGAAATAGCATCTCTGCAGAGGGAATTTGTGAAGGATCAAGATGAAGCCATACTAAATCTTAACTGCTAAAGTCACCCTGTAGGATTAGCACTGGACTGCTAACCACAGAGGTCGGAGTTCACATCCATCAATTGTGCCTTGGAAACCCGATACAGGGTTGTTACGAGTCGGAACCAACTCGACGGCACTTAACAACAACAAATACTAAAATGTTGGTTGTTGTTTAAGTGCCGTTGAGTCGGTCCCGACCCATAGTGACGCTGTCTAGGATATCCAAGGAGTGGCTGGTGGGTTTAAACTGTCAACCTTGTAGTTAACAGTCCAGTACTTAGCCCAGAGTGCCACCAAGTTTCCTAATACTAAATAAACAACACAAAAAAGAAACCAAACTCACTGCTTTCCAGTCAATTCCCAGTCAGAGCAAATCTAAGGCCAGAGTAGAACTGTTCCTTATGATTTCTGAGGCAAAATCTTTGCAGGAGCGTACCACAGTACAGCTGGTGGGTTTGAACTGCTGATCTTGCGGTTAGCAGCCCAATGCCTAACCATAATGCCATCGGGGCTCCTATATTGCATGGGGAATGGAGTCCTGGTGTGGTGTTGTGGGTTAATACACCAGACTGCAAAGCCATTTGAACTCCAAGGTCAGCGGTTCAAGCTCACCAGTCACTCCTTGGAAACCCTATACAGGGTCGCTATGGGGCGGAACCGACTCAACGGCACTAAACAACAACAACAACATAAGTATGCCCAAGCCCCATTGCAATCAAGTTGGTTCTGCCTCCTAACAACCCTACAGGACTCAGTAGAACTGCTTCTTAGGATTTCTAAGACTGTAAATCTTTATGGGAGCAAGAGTTTCCCTCTCTTACGGAACAACTACAACTGGTGGGTTTGAATAGCCGACTGTGTAGTTAGCAGCCCAACGCTCAACTCACAGCGCAAATACTAAACTCTTGTTAAGTTGTTAAGTGCCGTCAAGTTGGTTCCAACGCATAGAGATCCTGCCTAGAGTTTCTGAGAAACAGCTGATGGGTTGGAACTGCTGACCTTATGGTTTGTAACCCAGTGCTGACAGTACCACATACCACATACAAAATACTAAACGAGAAAACAAAACTCCTCACAACTGGATTGATACCCAACATCATTATAAAATGGAGAAAGAATCCATGTTCAGGGAAGCAGCAGTCAAGGAATCAGATGGTATATTAGGAAGATCTTTTGTAAGAGACCGCTTTAAAGTTTTAAAAAGAACTTCCACCCAGAGAAAGAGTGACACCAGAGATGGAGGCAGAGAAGATGACATGGAGAGATGGAGCAGCCGGGGACTCTAGACCTAGAGAGGGAGAGAGGCTGTGTGCTGACGACCAGGGGGCAGGCTTGCAGGGTATACCCTTTGGTTGGTTGATGATGCATGGATGGGACTGTAACCATGGCAATGTAACAATATACAATAGGATGAATGTAAAGCTAATGTTCTCCCCTGTAAACTATCACATAATTCACAATAAAAAATTAAAAAAAGAACTTTCAAATGGAGAAGAAATCAAATAGAATTTCAAGAAAATAAATGCAAACCTAACTGTGGTCCTAAAGGAGTGCTGATTTGGCACTGCAGGAACTAGACCAAGGCCTATTCCTAGCCCTAACCCAACCCCTACCCCTAATACTGACACTACCCTTAGCCCTAACAACAACAACAAAAGTTTAAAGCAAAGATGTCAGTTTGATGACTAAGGCATGCTAGATCCAAGCCATGGTCTTCTGGATGGCACCATATGCATGTGAAAAATGGACAATAAAAACAGAAGACAGAGAAGAAATGGTGCGTTGGAACTGTGATGTTGGTGAAAATGTTAAAATATATCATGGACAAACAACTCAGCAAGGAAGCTCAACTCACAGCGCAAATACTGTTGTTAAGTACCGTCAAGTTGGGGGCTCTTTTATTTTCAACACCTCATTGGGAAACATCAATTGCTAGAAAAGGACATTGTGGTTGGTAAAGTAGTTGCTGTTAAGTGCCATCGAGTCCTGGTCAGTAAAAATGGGATGGATTGATGCAAGAGCCACACAAGGGACCCCCACACATCAATGACCATGAAGATGGAGTCAGATAGGACAATGCAGGCAGGCCGCAGAGACACTGCGCTTCTACTCAGTCCTTAGGGTCGCTCGGAGTGGGAATTGACTCCACGGTAGTGAATTTGGTTTTTTTTTCTGTTGTTTATTTACTATGCGGAATCCTGGTGTGACTACAAGGTTGGTGGTTCAAATCCACCAGCCACTCCTTGGAAATTCTATACAGGGTGGCTATGAGTTGTAGCTGACTCCATGGCACTTAACAACAGCAGCAAACAGTAATCGAGTGAGTCAAACAAATAGCCTATTAGGGAGTCCTGGTGTGGCGCTGTGGGAGATGGCAAAGCCGTTTCAACTGCAAAGTCGGAGGTTCAAGTTCACTAGCTGCTCCTCAGACCCCTATACAGGGTTGCTATGGGTCAGAACCGGCCTGATGGCCCTTAACAACAACAACAATAACAAGGCCTACTAGGAGCCCTGGTGTGGTGCTGCAGGAGAATACAATGAATCGCAAGGTCTGTGGTTCAAACCCATCAGTCACTCCTCGGAAACCCTATACAGGGTCGCCATGGGTTGGAACCAACTTGACTGTTGAGTCGGTTCTGACTTATAGCAACACTGTATAGGATTTCTAAGGAGTAGCTGGTGAGCTTGAATTATCAACCTTGTGGTTCAAACCAACTTTGCAGTCCAGTGAATTAATCTCACGAGAATTACCAAACTGTGACCCAGACACACAAAGTGAGCCCCATCTGTTGGAAGAATGATACTAATAGGCACTCGATGCAAGGTCCCCACAACCCTTCAATTTGTGAAAACCAAAATATATCTGCAGAACACAATTAAATGGGGCATGCCTGGTTTATTCTGCTGCACGCCATCCAGGGTCACACCCCGGCACTGTCACCATGGTGTTGTTGTTGTTAAGTGCCATCGAGTTGATTTCGACCCATAGAGGCCCTGTACAGGATTTCCAAGGAGCAACTAACTGGTGAGCTTGAGCCACGGACCTTGCAGTTCAAACTGACTTTGCAGTCCAGCGCATTAACCCACAGCGGTACACTAGGAGTTGGAACTAACTAGACAGGGGAGGGGGCGGAAATTAACAACAAAGTAAAATACTAAAATGAGAACCCTAAATCTAATGATTTGTGGCCTTAGAAGAAGAAAGGACGGAGAAAGACAGAGAGAAGAAATTGAAGTGATGATGGAGGTAGAGATGGGGATAATACAGCCATAATTCACAAAATGCCTGGGGATACCAGAAACTGGAAGAGACAGGGAGCGAAATATTCCCGAGAGAGCCCAGTCCTGCTCTTGGAGCACATCTTGATCTTGAACTTCTCACCTCCCCTCCAGATCTGTGAGAGAATAAATTTCTGGTGTGCTCAGACACCCAGTATATGGGGATTCGCTATGGCTGCCCCAGGAATCAATACAGGTCCTCTTGGGGGCTGACATCCCCAGAACAGGAGAGCTACCTGCACTGTGCCAGCCCCTTCAGCCCCCCACCCTGCCCTGAAAAGTATTACCACGTGACTCAGTGACCGCTATGGCTTTTCCGCTGCCCGAAGAATCCACCCACTAACCAACCCACTGCCATAGGACAGAATACAGCTGCCCCCAAAGGATTTCCAAGGCTGTAATCAGGTAGCGTAGTGGTTACGAATCGGGCTGTAATCTGGTAGGTCAGCGGTTCGAAACTACCAGCCACTCTGCGGGAGAAAGATGAGGCTTTCTACTCCTGTAAAGATTTACACCCTCAGAAACCCTGTGCAGGGTCACTATGGGTCGGACCCGACTCAATGGCACTTAACAACAACAACAATCTTTACAAAGGAGTCCTGGTGTGGCACTGTGGGTTAATGCGCTGGACTGCAAAGTTGGTTTGAACCATAAGATCAGTGGTTCAAACTCACCAGCTGCTCCTAGGAAACCTCTACAGGGTCGCTATGAGTCCGAGCAGACTCAACAGTGCTTAACAATAACAACTACCATGGCAGCCCAACTCTCTGGGAGACACCCACCACTGGAGCAGAGCAGCAGCTCTGCAGGAGCTAGTGTCCTCCCCCACCCCCTGCCCCTGACTCACCTGCCTGTCCCTCCAGACCCCTCCCCACAAATATCCTGAGCAAGGGTGTTTGGGGCTGGGGAGGGGGAGAGACAGAGGCAGTGACGACCAGGAAGGCTCCTAAGACCACACAGCCCTCGCCAACCTGTTCCCTCCCACCTGTCCTCTTCCCAGCACTGTCTCCAGCCACAAGAATGCGCTGGCAAGAATCAGACTGGACCAAAGGCCCTGGGAGACACCCATGCAT